GACGGCGCCGTCAACCTTGCCGGTGTCACCATGCTGGGCAAGCCTATCGTTCGTGTTGCACTGGAACCTGTGAACCCTGCCGATCTTGACAAGATGATCCATGGCCTCAAGCTTCTGGTTCAGAGCGATCCTTGTGCTGAGTATGAGCTTCTGGGCAGCGGTGAACATGTGCTGTTGACTGCAGGTGAGCTGCATCTTGAGCGATGCTTGACTGATCTCAAAGAGCGATTTGCTCTGTGCGATATTCAACCGGGTGCTCCTATTGTTCCCTACCGAGAGACAATTGTGCGGGCTGAAGAAATGCGACCTCCCGCGAACAAGGACCTCGGTCGTGGTGCGGTTGTAGCTACAACAAGCTCAAAGCAAGTGACTCTCTCGCTCCGTGTGCAACCAATCCCCGAAAACGTAACAGACTTTTTGGTCAAGAATGGCGACGCTGTGAAGCGAGTCTACGACCGTGGGGCCAAGAAGGATGATGAAGGCGAAGAAATCGTGGCTGAAGCTGATGTGGCGGCTGGAAACACTCTGTCCGTGGAAGACTTCAAGAAACAACTTAAGGAGAAGCTTGAAAGTGGAAAGGGAAGAGATATGTGGAAGGACTCTATTGATAAGATTGTGGCCTTTGGACCTCGACGTACTGGGCCAAACCTACTTATCGATGCCACTGCAGATGGTATCTTCTCCAGAGCTTTTGCTGCTGAAAAGACTGTCGAGACTGCACCCCGTGCTGATGAGTCTCTTCACCCTAGCCATCTTACAGACAAGATCTCATACGCCTTCCAACTTGCTACGGCTCAGGGTCCTCTGTGCAACGAGCCACTTCAGGGCGTTGCAGTCTTTATTGAGGATGTTACACTTAACCTAGCCGAGGACGACTCTCCTGCACGCGACAAACTTGGTCGTCTCACTGGTGAGATTATCAGAATCTTCCAATCTTCTCTTCGCGCAGGTTTCATGGACTGGTCTCCCCGTCTCATGCTTGCAATGTACAGTGTCGAGATTCAAGCATCTACAGAAGTCCTTGGTCGTGTATACGATGTTCTTACCCGCCGTCGCGGTCGTGTTAACGCCGAACTCATGAAAGAAGGCACACCATTCTTCACAATTCAAGCTCTGGTTCCCGTAGCCGAGAGTTTCGGATTTGCCGACGAGATGCGAAAGCGTACCAGTGGCGCGGCCCAGCCACAGCTGATCTTTGCTGGCTTTGAGATTCTAGACGAAGATCCTTTCTGGGTACCTTTCACAGAAGACGATCTCGAGGATCTTGGTGAGTTGGCTGACAAGGAGAACGTGGCGAAGCGATATATGGATGGAGTGAGGAGAAAGAAGGGATTGCTTATAGAGGGAAGAAACGTTGCTACAGACGCAGAGAAGCAAAAGACATTGAAGAGGTAGATGTATGTGAGAAGCAATAAATGTTATGATATAGGCTGTCGTGACAGGGTGGTTGTAGTGTGCATGCGTTCATCCGTTGCAGTGTAACATGGATTCTTCCGCATTGCATGGAGACCAGATGAATCTGTTACAGGCACAACTCCACGGTTTTTCTTGACAGACGTCAATTTTGAAATAGGTATTGTGGAGGAGTTATGGATAGTATACCTCGCAGCAGCTAAGCTACAAGGGCCCTTTTTGCTAGTAATAAATCAGCTGAGTGAACTGAAGAAAGTCCTATTGGTAAAGCCCTAAACTGAAATCTGTTCACTCAAGTCCTGGTTATGATAGTTCTTGTGGGCTAAGTTGTGATACTTCCATGGTATTCCTTGACATTCGTCTCTAGGACACACCGCTGGAAATCGTTCTCTACTGCACCTCCTTCTCTTCTTCTCTATTCCTTTCTCACACGTATAGAAGTAGTCGATCGAGATCTTCTATTCAGCTTTCCTCTATTCTCATCGAGAATCATGATGACTTGCATTTATATCGTCATCAACTTCACCAGAATCGTCCAAAGCACATGAGACAGTCGACATTCTGCAAGTTCCAAGGATCTCTCATGCAGGTCCATGTAGGACTTCATCCACATAGTCATAGGAACCAACCTTCTTTTGGACTCCGTGCCTTACTTAACCAACTATGATTTCTCTCCTGCTTTATGTTTAAGACAGACCAGCCCAATCCTGTGTTGGGAGTATACGTTATACACGTTGTTGTGTTGTGTCTCACCACGAGATCGGATTCTTCCCCTCACATCAACTGGACGGTGGCTGAGCTGAGCTTCCCTCATCCGATATGAGGTCTTTATGCAGAGTGCCTGATTTGCCAATACGAGCTGAAACTTGGCGAGAGCCGCGGCTGAGTCTCTCTTCTCCACTACCCTCAGATCAAACAGTGACATGTCAACTGCGAAAAGAGAGACTATCACATTCTGACCCCTGACGGTATTCACCCTTGCTCCCACACACTCGGCACTTTCTCCACGATTTCGGCAGCTAACGAGAACCCGGGCGTCCCCGGTGGATTAACGTTGCTTTTTTGTCTCTGCCACGAAACACGACGGCCCGTTCGACTTTTCCTCGTTTGGTTTGAGTCCATCTGCAGAGACCGAGTTTTTCTTTTTGCAAAAAATGATCTAGTAGGTCTTGATTTTTCCGTTGAGGGATGTGAGGGATGAAGAGGCTGGACTCAGAAACATGGAGCAGTTTTACGTGGAGTATTGGGAATGGACCCTAAAAGAAGTAAAAATTGAGGACTAGATTGTCTAGACGCACAAATTCGCCGCTGGCTTCAGATCAGATATTTCTGATAATCTTATATCACGGGTTTCCTTCCCGAGGGGCTGGTTATCGTTGCTCTGCTCCAGATGCAAGCTGCAGTTCAACTCATCATGGATCCCCAGACGTCTCTTAAAGAAAGTGCTGCAGTAATGACGGAAGTCAATCTCAAGGCCTTCAACATAGAGGCCTTCACACTACTTGGCTTTGCGTTGCTGGTCACCGTTTTAAGGTCGTGTGTGCGGATCAGGACTGTGGGATGCGGGAACCTCTGGGCAGATGACTATCTCGTCATTTTGGCCGCTGTAAGTGACAAATATCTGGTGTGGATGCATAGTACTAACATCTTTAGGGCATATATGCTATAGAAACAGGGCTGGCATACTCGGTCGGTAATATTGCTCAAGGGCTGGCGAACAACTCGATGACGAACGAGCAACGAGCCTCTTTACTGCCAGAAGATCATGAATATCAGCTTCGGTAGGGCAATAACTCTATCTATACGGGTTATCTGTGCTAATCCTTACAGTATCATTGGCTCAAAGATCCAAATCGCTCTATGGGCAACTTACTCATCCCTCCTCTGGATCCTCAAAGCAGCCATGTGCACTTTCTACTATCGACTTACAAAAGACCTTCAAGGCCACCGAGTTCGGGTCATCATCGGCTTTGGCTTCATCATTTCTTCTTTTGTTGTTGTGCAGATGAACCTTCTTCTCAGTTGCCGCCCTTTCGACCACTGGTGGCAGATATTCCCTGATCCCGGAGCTTTCTGCCATGCTGCTATTTCGCCTGCCTTGATATGGACTTGTCTCGCTTTCAACTTGGCCACCGACTTTTACCTCATTATGATTCCTATGCCCATGCTTTGGAAAGCTGCTATGCCTTGGCCTCAAAAGGCTGGACTCATTGCTCTGTTCAGCTGTGGGTTGTTTGTCACCATGGCCGCTATCCTTCGAGTTGTCTTGCTTGTATCTGTAAGTATGCCTCAACCCATTAGTAACTCTACATGCATCTAACATGAGCAAGGATCCAATCAATGGTCCTCAACTCGCAGCTTCTTGGGCGGTTCGCGAGACCTTTGTCGCCATCATGACAACAAACATCCCCATGCTATTCCCAACATTTAAGAAATGGGCTGTCCCCATCGTCGAAAGAGCTGGGTCCTCTTTGAGTGTCTACCGAACTCCACCAAACACTATCGTGGATTCCAGATTCTCTGGAGCTCTGTCTATAGGCAGTTTGAGGCGAAAGAGCCGAGGATCATCTCGCATTACATGCATTAGCCCCATGTCGCCTACCGCCAGTGAAACTGAGGCACACATGAACTCAATTGGTCTCATTTATACTACTCCTGACTCAAGCGTCAAGAAGCCGAAAGCTTCCAAGACAACACACAAGATCGCGGCCATACGTCTCCCGCGGGTCGACACCTCAACCCCTGCTGATCCAGACCACGGATATGGTCGACTGAGCACAAGAAGTGACAGTTCCGTTGTTTCTTGGTCAGAAACTTTGGTGAACTCCCCTCGGTCCGAGGGAACAGAGTCTTTACTCTCAGCCCGTGTTCACCACGACGGATACAGCAAGCACGTTTAACGCCTTTGTTACGAACATTCATAATGCCTTTGTCTCCTGGATCGAAATTACGACGAAGATGATCACATTTTCCATCAACCTACATGATTCATGATTCTACGTTAATTAACTAAAATAGAAAAAAGCTCATAGATTTGTTTCTGGGTTGGTTATGATAATTTTATTGCTTCAATTATTACGAGTTCTGCATGAGGAGCTTTGGAGACTCTCCGTGCGTCAGCATGTAGTCAACCACGCTTCCGAGTTCCATTCACTTCAACCATTAGAAACACTTAGATACTGTACTTATTAGCTAGATATTACTTTCAACGTTACTTGCGAAACACTATAGTGCACTATTACCACTCAGTGTTACTCCATCGGAACAAATACCAAAGGTGCAATATGCCCTCAAGAACTTCAGAGCCTTAACACAATGGGCTTTTGTTTGTTGGAGCTTATGTTCTTTACTCTGGACAATGTTCTCTTTATTTTGGGGCCTGAGTCCAACAAACGAATGGCCAGTATAGCGTGATCTTTGTTTGAACTGAATGGGCTCTTCTAAAGACAGTGAACAACGTAGCAAAGGATCAAGGATTCACCAAGCTTTTGTTCATGGCTTTTAATATAAGAGACTCAACATGCTGTATATGGCGATTCAACACAATTCTCATGCAGCATCAATAATCTTATACACAAATCATCATCATGGCTATCTCACCACCTCATACTAGATCGAAGACCAAGGAAACTCGAACGGTTTCTGAAGCTTCACTGATGACCCCCGCCAGATCATCAACAGCAGAATCACCCATTGCAGCACCCATAAAGGCCAACTCTAAGTCTAGCCAGGCATTCCTCCCAACACCACCCACCAAGCGCAAAAACACATGCCGCGACAACCCGATCCCGCTCAAGCTGCAGAAAACAACCTCGACTTCCAGGGCTGCGACTCGCTCTGAAACTCTTAGCTGGTTGGCGGACCTTGAAGAGGAGGATTTTGAGCTTCCTCAGTCTCCAACTCCTGCCGGTTCCGGGGCTATCGAGGACGACACAAGTGAAGGTGAGCAAGAGAATGTGTCTAAGCTTGGACCCAAGTCGTTCCAATGCGGAAGTTTTACAAAAAGCTGGGAAGAGATTGGACAGCAACGGAACTTTGAGTTCTTCCAAGCCTATCCTCACGATGAGTTTTCAACTCTCTGCGTGTGGCATTTTATGCAGCTTGCAGAGAGCTGGTACTCTCGCCGCAAACCTATGGTGAACCGCCAGATTCAGAAGCTTGTCAAGGCTGGCTTAACTCATAAGCCTGACTTTTCGAAACTGGCCCTCCCTGTATGTGAAGAGACCTGGACCGTCAAGAGCCTTGAAGACTTTACGACCGAGTTACGCCACCGGATCAATGATGCCACTAATCGGGTGATGGTCAACCATAGGCAAATCCTTGATATCACTGAGGAACGACCCATCTGTGAGCTTGGAAACCAGGAACACCCTCTCAAGTGCTCATTATGTACCAACTATGAGTTGCCATGTAAGGGTGATTACATCGAGGTTGACAGGGCACATTGTCGTATGGATGATCCACCCTACGTCCTAAACCCATATTATGCCACCATAGAGAAGGCCTCCAGCCCTGTTCCCGACTGTTGCCACCCAAAGGCTCTCACGATTCTCATGGGTGACAAAGGTAAAGATTACATGGAGTGCGAGGAATGTTGTTACAGCCAGGCACTCCCTCAGCACGCCCTCCAGGGGCCCAAGAGTTATGCCATAAAAGTAGCTGGGACTCGTATCCCAGTCCAAGTTCGTCCCCAGCGACTTTGTCTGAACAGCAAGCTCGGGCATGTCGATGTTGGAGGCATTCATGTGATTGTTGACTACTGTGCTAGTGGGCAGCGAATGATCAAGTTTCGGTAAGTTCTTATTCTATCCCCGTCGTCAATAATATGTATAGCTAACCTCTTTTCATAGGTCGACCCAGTTCTCAAAGGCTCATGAGATGCATGCCTTGGACTTCCACTTGGAGCACGAGATCGAGATGCTTGATGATGCGCTGCCCGAAGAGTCCCACGAGGTAGAAGCTGGGTTCAACGAGCTATATTGGCAAGAGGGTGCTTATAACGCAATTACTCAATGTTCCAATCTATTTGATAACTGTTCGTGTCATTAAGAGGGAGCTATGGAGTGGTCACGGGCAAATAGTGTTCAATTCATGCTTGATATTCGAATAAAAATGGTATGGTTGCTATAGCAGATTCCACTTACACCAGAGTGCCATGATACATAACGAGTTAAATAGAAATTACAGAAGATGGGTTGTGGGATAGACAGATAAAAATGCAATGCTTGTAAAAGATGACTCAATAAAAAGACTGAATGCCTCTATTCACATGACCACTGTAGGGTAGCCCTCCAGGCAGCCGTCTGCGGCTGAAAGGGAAAGCCCCCACGTGCCCAACGTTATGTGCCCACCTGGAAAATTCTGACCAGTCAAGATATTTCTTTCAACCTTGGAAAATCCAGGGCATTTACAGTGGGACTAGCGGCCTCCTCCAAGGGGACCTGTAGCGCAAGATGGCCCCGGCTCCAGCTCCCTCCCGGGCAGCGCCAGCCCCAGCCCAGCTGATGTAAGGCTCCAGGGCATCCACTCATTTAACTGAAGGCAGCCATTCAGCCATTTCGTAGTGGATTGCCGAAAGTCGCCTCGAAACTTGAACTCTGCATAGTTATCTTTAAAGTGCCACGATGCGATACTGAATAGTCACGTTACAACAGAGCCTACCCAATACTTTGTCTAATACCGCTTATCTTTTGGAACTTCTTCCCCGTACTTCACTTCTCACGTTCCTTTTCTTGTACTCTTCTCTCTTGTTTTTACCATCTTCTTTAATCTAGTCCCTCCCGTTGCGCGACATTGCCGACTCCGGGAGCGACACGCACACGCCACCGCGAACCCCTCCATCCCTGACCTGTGACCCAACTCAAGTCAGACCCCGTCGCCGCTCTATCTTGAAAGACATTTTGGATTACTAGGACCGACCTACTATTCACTGATACAGGATGCGTCTCTTCGGCGGCAAGAACAACAAGATCAAGGTCGACCCTCCCAAGATCAGGATCGAAAAGGTTGTCGTCGACCGACCTGCCCAGAAGCCTAAGCCTAAATCCACTTCCGCACTCAGCGGCTCAGCATCGCGCTCCTCCTCTTCTCACCGTCCCTCGCCGAAACCACTGGCACGACAGGCTAGTCACTCGCCGTACCCCTCATCTTCCGACGAGAAGCGACTCGAGCGTAAGCGCAAGGCACCGTCCGTCACCCGTCGATCACCGGCAAGCGACCGTATCGAGTTCGACAAAGACAGTGATGGCGAAGACGATGGATGGATGACTCTTGATACCAAGAGACAACGCAAAGGAACTGAAGACGGCAGCTTTGTTGACCCCAACCGTAAACTGAGAAGCGTAAGAGCCTTTGAGGATCGGATGGACAGTCGAAGCTTCATCCATGCCGTAGATGTGGCCTCGCTCGAGCACAAGTGTGTGCCTGTCATGGGCGCACAGAAAGAGGACGTGGCTATCCGACTACAATATCCCAGCTTACAACCTCGAGAAAAGTGAGTCTTCCCGGCGACCCCGACCTCCAAAACTAATGCTGACATGATTACAGGTATGAGCTAGTATGGGGAAAAGACAAGATCGATGCCGTTGAAGCCAGCATCAAGGTAGTTCGCCACGTAGCCGAAACATATCTCACCGAAGAGGAAGCAGAGCCTTTCACAAATCCTAATGGTGGTATCATTCGAAGACTGGAGAAGGCCTCCAACCGGAACATCCAGGATTTGATGGGTTTCAAGGCTGCTCTGCGCGAATACAACGAAAAGCTTCGGGCTCTAGTCGAGGACGGTGTAATTGCCAAGAACCTCGATAAGATGCATGAGCTCCCCCAGCACCTTGTGGCTTTCATTCTCGATCAAATTTATGACCGAACAGTGGCTCTCAAGGTCGAACTTCTTTCAAAGTATGAGAACGGAACCGACTATGTCTATGGCGAACTACTCCACCCCTTCATTTCTAAGATCTTGGTAGAGCAGACACGAATGACCTCTGGTCAGGTCTTCGTTGATCTCGGCTCAGGTGTTGGTAATGTCGTTTTGCAGGCGGCCCTCGAGATTGGTTGTGAGAGTTGGGGTTGCGAGATGATGGAGAATGCTTGCAATCTTGCCGAGGAGCAAAAGAAGGAGTTTGATGCCCGATGCATGCTCTGGGGAGTTCGACCTGGCAAGGTTCACCTAGAACGGGGCGATTTCCGCAAGAATTTGCCCATCCATGAGGCCCTCAAGCGTGCAGATGTTGTGCTTGTAAACAACAAGGCCTTCACCTCGCAGCTAAACGATGACTTGGTCCGGATGTTCCTGGATCTTAAATCGGGCTGCAAGATCGTGTCGCTCAAATCCTTTGTCGCGGAAAAAAGCAACAACCACAACATCAACGACGTTGGCAGCACCATCCTGGAGGTGGAAGAGTGCATATACCCTGAGGGTTATGTGAGTTGGACTAATGCAGGAGGATCATACTTCATTTCGACGCGTAAGTAGACTATAGAGCTTCATAAGCACTCAGTGGCAGAGATTATGGTGTTGGAGAAATAGGGATAGGGCAGACGGTTACATCAGCGCGGGGTATAAGGGTATGTTCGGACTTACAGGATACTCCATATAGTATTTGTTTTTTTCTCGTGACATCGTGGCTCGTTTCTCTGTTTGGCCTGCCTCGTTTGACCTCATGAATCATTAACTATCGTCTCTTTTCGAAGATGGGTTCGTTGGCGAGGTTCATAGCATCTGCTTCTTGTGCCATCCTCTTCATCCATCTGTCCACCAGTTCTTTGTTCTCCTTCTTCACCTTATCTCTTTCCTTCTCGGCCATGGACATTTGTAGATCCATCGCAATCATCTCATCTTGTACTTGCTGGTATTGCTGTGAGCAATAATGGCGATGAATCGCAGCATTTGGGTCACACGTACCTCAAGAAGCTTGCGCTTTTCCCTCAACTCGTGTTCTAGATCCTTTAGTTTGGTGGTAAGACTATTTCTATCGGCCGTGAGGTCGCGAATTGATTTCGTGTCTGCCTTGTGTTTTGCCCTTAGTTGCATCAACTCTTCCTCGCTCGTGCGTAATCGCTTTTCGGTGACGCCCTTTGATCGAAGGGCTTCGGCGAGATCCTGTCTTAGTTGCGCAACACCAGGATCGTTTGTTGAGGGTTCGGTGGGTTGCGCAGTTGGTGTCCCGCTATTTACAGCAAGCCCTACTAGCCCATTCTTCTCAGCCTCGAGAGCAGATATGCGATCTGCCATCTGCGAGCCTTGAAATCATTGTCAGCCTGATGAACCTTTCGTATCTTCGCGTGATACTGTCGCTTGCTGGGGGAGGAGGGGTTATGTGGGGGTGCTTTTACGAACAAGCCTGAACAAGCTCCATGTTGACGGGATTGCTGAGCTCTGCATCCTTGATGGATAAGAGATACTGGTCACGCCAGTTTGGCATTATAAGTGAGTGTAATTTGTGTGATGGTCGACAGATGATGGAAGCGGTTTTGATGTGGATGAAATAAGGTTGAGTCAAAGTGATGAGAGAATGAGTTGGGTCAACAGAGTGACCTGCATTGCACCGCTCATTCTTGCCCGCCATGTGAGATGATGCAACCGCCGAAAGGAAACTAAAATTAGCGGGACAAGGAGCTACCCGACCGCTAATTACAGCCGGAGAATAACCGTGTGCCTGGCAACCTCCACTTACCTGAGCTACCTTACCTAGGTCCTAGACCTGCGGTATGATGCAGCACCTAAGCTCCCTGCTCTCATTCATACTGTACAGGTGCTTAGCTGACGAATAACATTCAGCTAAAGGCGCGTCTCTTCCTCAACAAATTCACAAAGATTGGGTTACAATATGAGATAACGCGAGATGGACACACTTCACGCCAGAGCTGACTGGGAGAGTGTCGGGGACAGATGGTTCCGCAAGACGCAGCAGTATACAGCCGTGTTTGACAAAGATCTCGACTTGGATAATTACATCGTTGCGGGAGCTCCATATGCAGGAGCACTAGGTGAGTTCGAAGCCACAGAAATCTAAGATCATTGAATCATAAGTTTTCAGTATACTTATGATTGACTTAGTGTTGATGTATTTGTAACTGTAACTGACCACATCCTCAGCACTATGGCGCGACGACACAAAGCTTCTAGCATATCAACCAGGAAGATCAGCAAAACCAGCAATTGATATCTACAGTCTTGCCGGCAAGAAACTCCGAAGTATCCCCTGGGATAATGGTACCATTAAAGGCCTTGGTTGGTCTGAAGATGAGACTCTACTCGTTGTCACCACTGACGGTACGGTCCGTTGTTATGATCTGCAAGGAGATTTCACACAATTCTCCCTTGGCCATGGTGCCGATAACTACAGTGTCGAGTCATGTCGGTAGGTGACTTTCAGTGATATGGTCTACTTCCGCGACTGACAAGTGGCAGTTTCTACGACCATGGCATGGTAGCACTGCTTGGAAACAACTCACTCGTCACAGTCTCATCATATACTGAACCCCGACCCAAAGCTCTTGCTAAGATACCGGAAAGCGAGATCCATGCTTGGTCAATCATTTCACCAAACCACACATTATCTAGGTCTGTCGAGGTACTATTAAGCGTCGATAATACTGTATACGTCGTCGATGCTACTGATTGCGAAGACCGTTTCCTCGATATTGGGCCTTTCAGTCATATTAGTGTCTCTCCGGATGGTCGCTACGTCAATCTTTATGCTGTGAATGGGAAAGCTCATGTCATATCTAGTGACTTCCAAGAACGGTTATTCGAACATGATTCCGACTCTCAAACACCTCCTCTATATGTTGAATGGTGTGGATCCGATGCCCTCATTGCTTGGGAGGATGAGGTGCATATTATCGGACCTGGTGACTCTTCATCTTCATATATATACGATAGCACACGTGTGCATGTCATTTCTGGTATGTGCCTTATTGAACTTCAATGCTAGACTACTAATATTCTTACAGAACACGATGGTGCCCGTCTAATTACAAATGACTTCTGCGAGTTCCTTGAAAGAGTGCCTAGGGATACCCTCGAAGTCTTTGGCCAGTCTTCGGATTCATTGCCTGCTTCAATTCTTCTCGACGCTGTAGGCCAACTGGAGCTCGAGTCTCCAAAAGCAGATGATTACATCCAACTAATACGACCTAATCTTACCGGGGCTGTTGACACCTGTGTCAATGCAGCTGGGCGCGAATTCGATACCCACTGGCAGAAGCGTTTACTCAAAGCAGCTTCATTTGGCAAATCTGTACTCGATATATATAACAGTGACGACTTTGTTGACATGTGCGAGACTCTACGCGTGCTCAACGCTGTGCGATATTATGAAGTTGGCATGCCACTGTCTTTTGAGCAGTATCACCGCTTGACACCAGAAAGCCTCATTCGACGATTGCTCAACCGACACGAGTATCTTCTTGCCTTGAAGATTGCAGGCTATCTGAAGTTACCAACAGATCGAATCTATGTACACTGGGCGTCTAGCAAGGTCCGTGTAGGTGGCGAAGATGACGATACCATCTGCCGGTTGATCGTGGAGAGACTCTCTGGCAAGCCTGGAATTTCCTTTGAGGAGATCGCTCGTGCAGCGTATCAAGAAGGAAGGGGCCGACTTGCTACTGAACTTCTCAACCATGAGCCTCGTGGTGGTAGACAGGTTCCTCTTCTCTTGAGTATGGAGGAGGATGAGCTTGCTCTCGACAAGGCTGTTGAGAGTGGTGACACAGACTTAATACTGACAGTTTTGTTGCAGCTCAAGAAGAAGTTGCCCCTCGCTGCTTTCTTCAGGGTCATCAATGCACGACCGACAGCGACAGCACTGGTGGAAGCTTTGGCCATGGAAGAGGGCGACAACACGCTCCTAAAAGACCTGTATTATCAAGATGACCGACGAGAAGATGGTGCCAACGTTTTTATTCGCGAATCACTGAAACAACCTGATGCTAGAACAGCGTCTGACAAATTGGCACTGGCAGCGAAGCTATTAGCTGACTCAAAGGAGTCGACGTTCGAGGTTCATGCATTGAAGGAGGCTACGACACTTCTGCGCATGCAGGAAGCTTTCGACCGGGATTTGACAGACACATTTACTGGCCTGAGCGTCAATGAAACCATGTTTAAGCTTATTCGGCTGGGCTACCACGGACGGGCTAAGAAGATCCAGAGCGAGTTCAAAGTCCCCGAGAAAGTGGCGTGGTGGATTCGGTATGTGGACTTTGTCTCCAACAGGCCCTGGCTTCGGGACGACAACGTTGGACAATGGCTAACTTTTGTTCCTGCAGATTACGAGCACTAGTTGCGAAGCGAGACTGGAACGAGATCGAGGAGATCTCCAAGACAAGGAGAAGCCCCATTGGCTGGGAGGTGAGTTACAGAATCAAGACTCGATAGGTTGAGATGTGAGACTGACAATCGTAGCCCTTCTTCAACCTCACGCTTCAAGCAGGTAATCCACGTTTGGCATCTGTATTTGTACCCAAATGCACATCAGTAGAAGCTGGAGAGACGATCACCATGTATGAGAAATGTGGGATGCGGGTGAAGGCCGCGCAAGAAGCCGTGAGACTCAAGGACAGTGAGTCGTGGGAGAGGCTCTTGGAGGCTGCAGGAAAGGGGTCACAGGAGGGAAGAGAGATCGAACGTCTGGGCCAATCCGTATTCAAGAAGTAGAGTCAGCTCTGCTATAATTTCTTAGTGGCACATATAACTTGTTTCACCGTACTTTCGTAGCAAGAATATCCACAGAATGATCAATTATGACTCTCGTTAAGTTACACAATTATACTATCGGAACCGCGTTTAACGCCATGCAGCTATGAGCCAAGCCATCTACTACGGTGGCTGCATAGTTATTAGGACATAAATTGATGAATTCTTTTTGCGATTGTATCTTGAGCCATGGGAAATGAAGCCTCAATACAGCTCCGCACTTACCGACTGGAATGTGAAAGTCTGCAGTTGTTTCGGAAGATATCACAGTTATTCGCGTGATGTTTTCCAGGGTCTCGTGACGTGCCTAGTTGCAAGTCATGTTTCTGTTGGTGTCTCATGATCCGCGATAACTGTTTGGCACTCTAATATTAGTCGACATTTAGCGGAACTAGCGGGCATCTACACGGGATGGAGGGTTTCGCGTGTGAGCTCAAGATAACGTTATGCTGGATCGGGATCTACCGAAACCGTTCCATGGTGAGCAAAGCAGATGATGCCTGTTGGTGGCATGACAGCTGAGGACCCTGTATCGTATGTACTGTACGGTACTGTAGGTTGAGAAGAGGGAGGGTAGGATGATGATATCATGGGTTACATTCTGGCTCCGATGTGGGGATGACCTCGACATGTACAGAACCAACTGCAAGGTAAGGTAGGCAATAGCTGGGGAACAGTTCAGTAACACAAACTCGGAGACTTTATGTCAGTGAGTTTTCATCGTCGTGGGACTTGAGAGAAACTTCAATCCGCCGGTTCAACGTTACCCCCTTTTTTCGCCTCCCGAGCATTTTTTGTTTGCTTGCTTGCATCGTAAGCTTAAGCCCTGTTCCTCTTTGGGCTATGGTCTAAGGTCTCGAAGAGTCTGGTGGTGGCGGAATCAGAAACACCAGCAGCAAAAGTCCGAAGTGTAACTCAACTTGGGTTTAAGCCTCAACCGAAGGAACTTTGAGAAACGGCTGAGGAGGAACTCTTCTTTTTCTAGAAGCATGTGAGGCGTTTTGGTTGAGATGGACTGTTTCTAGACGGGCAATGAGTGGGTATCAGAGATTGGGTAGCGGTTGGGAGATGTTAATTGTGGAAAATGGCCTTCTTTAAGCTGGGGATATCTTGGATGGAAGATGGAGAATGTATGTCATGATGGATCTAGACTGTGGAGCTGCTTAGGGATATGGAGGTATGAAATTCAGGGCAGTCGATATTGCATCGTTTAAGGGTCTCTAAACAGCGACTTTTTGTTACAGATATTTGATGACGAAGAACATGTCGTGTAACTGAAGGATTACCACTGATAGTGTCAGCAAAGACTGAGGTCGTAAAGTAGTATTTGGCCACCTCCAAAAAGGGATCCGCGCTCCGTTTCCGATACTGAACCCCTGTTCTACGTATGGCTATGTTTTGCCAAGACGCCTTTTTTTTCCCCAAGAGTCAGTGAAGCTGAGATGTTCTGGAGCGGCCACCCCGAATCACGTTCTGATTCTGACTGGCAGGCAGATTTGATCACTTGGCTGCGTGCGTGATGTTAGTTACCTGCTTTTTAACTAAGTTTGGGCACTGTTGATTGATTGATATCGCCATGAACCAATTCGCTATTCGCAGATGATCCTTGCAATTGCCTGTTCTTGATGGGCCACTAATGCAATCTTTATTGAGGCTAACATGAGTCCTACTGGGGGATTGCCAGCATGGAGAGAAATTGAGAATCAGGTATCAATGGTCAATGGACTTGAGTCAGCTACTAAGAACCTTTCTGATGATGAAAGATCCATGAGTTCAACCTTGCAAAATACTGTCCTTTATCTATTATTACGTCTGCCAAAACTGTTCGTTCCTTGACTAGAATTCAAGGATCTCACTCTCTGCTCGGGCGTTCTCGCTAGGGGACCCATATCCTGATCGATCCCCTCTCTTATTCTGGAGGAGGAGTGTCCCCCCCCTTCACTCACTAGAACAAATCAAGCTCGATGCCCCTGTCAGCTCAAGAACATGACACCCCTGTCTTGATCCCCGGTTCTTCAGGTGTGGTGAAAGAAAGCACAGCAGGTTCCATCACTGATTTAGTGGTCTTCTTTTCTTTCATCCGCTGAATGGGCTCTGTACGAAATACTGTACCGCCGCCACTGTTGTTTCTCTGATCCATCGTATCGCCAAGACCAGCCCGTAAATCAACTCACCAACCTCCCTCTTCCTTTTCCTTTCTCTCTGCCTCGCGCTTCCTCGACTGTTCTTGGTCTTGTCTATTTGCTTTTCCGTTATTATTGCCATCAATCAAATCTTGCGTCGGAATCAATCCTCCCTCCTCATAGGACTACCTCCCTGCCTCTAACGGAATAACGAACCATCGACCCCAAGTCTAGAACTGATCTGCAAGGCGGAACTGAACCGACAGGAGAAGGCAATTCAACTCCAGCAATTCCCATCAGCGACTACAGTAGACGAAACGATAGACCTGAGTGATATCGCCTGCTTCATATGCGCACGCCATCCATCATAAGACCCTGTTTCTCTTACCAACGCTCTCGTCATACCGAATACTCTGCAACACCAAAGCCAGCGTCTGTCTCAGTAGAGGTTTCAGTCCCTTCGCCGTCTGCAGCAAACACAACAAGAAACAAGACAAGACTTTTTCAACTCAAGGCAAAGCAAAGCAAAGCAAGCAAGGGTTAGACTGGAAATTAAGCTTCGTCTTTCTGCAGTGCAATTCTCTTCACTTGTTGCCTGACCTGATAGTGTCCAAGTCCAGATTGCGCCGCATTCTAACTACTGCTTCTCCCTTTCTCGGTTGACTCCGTCTGGCTCTGATTTAGAGTTGATCTGATCTGCTCAAATACCTACCAGCTCCTGACCATTCATTGCATCTGCATTTGCATCTGTTCCAGTTCACCCCCTTCCCGTCGTCTTGTCTTTCTTGTCACTCTGCTTGAAAGCTGTACCCTTGCAGGGCACCCACCTAATACAGGGCCCTGCTCTCTCTTACATACGCCCAGTTACATATTTGTTTCCCTTGTTCTCAAATCCCCTCCTCCAAATATGTTTACTCAACCAGTGGTTTCCACGCCTACGGGCCCGCCACAGTCCTCCTCCACATCCACCTCAAGACCGAGTCGTCTCCGAGGTTTGAGCTACTTGCGTAACTATACACAAAATCATTTATTGTCTCGCGACAACCACCATAACAGCTCCAGTTCTGGATCAGCAGGCGGCACAGGCACAGGCACAGCAAGCGCACGAAGCACGTCCCCTAATCGACACGGCTCTAGCCTCACGCGATCCCTCAGCCATTCGCCTACTACAAGTGGACCATCCACTGGAACCCAGAACACCAACCACTTGACACTCGTCAGTTCGACACCCGATCCCGTGAGGAATTTGACATCGGCGACCACCACAACATCGATACCTGCGCTGCCTCCTACTTCTGTTCCTGCTTCCGCTTCCGCTGCTACTGACGCTGCTACAACAAATTCTACTGAATCACAAAAGGCTTCCTCACAGCACTCTGCCGACATCAACGACCCCGCTACCACTGCACCAGAATTCTCAATGACTGCAGATACTCAAGCCTCCGCAGCCGCAGCCGCTGGCGTAGTCGACTCGAACCATGACCAGCCTACCATGACGAGATCGCGATCAGCCACCACTGGCGAAGGGGGCTCGTCGACTCCCGAAACTGCCCCATCAATTCGCTTCTCAGCCTACTACGACCCGCGCTCTACCCGCCCGTCCCTGACATTCCCTCCTATTTCCAGAACTCTGCCCACAGGGTCTGAGAAGATTCGTGTTGGCCGTTACTCAGAACGCGATAGTCACTCCATGTCGAATATGCCTGGTAACCAGCCATCAGCTGCACCAGTGGGTTTCAAGAGCAAGGTCGTCAGTCGTCGCCACTGCGAGTTCTGGTACGAGGATGGAAAATGGTATATCAAGGACGTTAAAAGCTCTTCTGGTACATTCCTAAACCATATTCGCCTAAGCCCACCGTCTCAGGAAAGCAAAGCTTTCCCCATCAACGATGGAGATATCGTACAACTCGGAATTGACTTTAAAGGTGGAGAAGAGATGATCTTCCGCTGTGTCAAGATGCGACTAGAGTTAAACCGTGGGTGGCAGAACAAGCTTAACACATTTAAGTAAGTTTGGACTCGACTGTTGAAATGTTTAAATGCTGACATTCTGATTAGCATGGCGGCGCACAAGAGGTTGCAGACGATGGCTTCTAGTGGAGCAGCTGGTACTAACTCTCAAGATTGCTCCATTTGCTTGAGCTCTATTGCTGTAAGCCTTATTTGTATCCTTATTCTCCGCCTAACTTTACTGATGATCATTTAGCCCTGCCAATCTTTATTTGTAGCACCCTGCTCTCACACCTGGCATTTCAAGTGTGTGAGATCGCTGCTCAATTCCCCGCAATACCCCATTTTCATCTGCCCCAACTGTCGAGCTGGTGCCGATTTAGAAGCTGATGTCGATGAACTGGCCGAAGAATGGCAGCAGCTTAAGAACGAAGCCGAGGCAGAAGCGTCAACTCCAGCTCAAGCCGACACCGAGCCAGAGACGGATCCGGTCCCTGCTGCTGCTAACTCGGGAACTTCGACACCGGAGCGATCGCACACAGCCGACATAGACCACATGGACGTCACTGTCAACATCACACCAGAAACACCTCAGCGAAATGAAGTTAGCCATGCTATATCCGAGCCGTTACCTATTAGAAATGTGGCCTCAGCTCCACGAAGAGTTGGCCAGCTGGGAGATAGCCGAACACCGTCACCTCCAGGCGGCACTGAAGGACCAATCACTCCGCGAAATAACGTTGGACCGTGGGTTTTTGATGGCAGTGCCGGCCGTACAGTGAGCGCCACAGAAGGCGAAATGACAAGTATAGATGCTGCAGCACAGCCAGATACAAGCGAACACGACACCACGGTACGGTAATGACTTGATTCGAAGCCTGGTTCAAACTACTACATACATAAAGACCACTTGACCTTCAAGTGGGGCTTGGGAATCATTACATATATGGCGTTCTATTGGTTTGTCCTGGTTCTCATGGCAGCAAAGGCGTTGAGGGGTTTTAAACACAGCCATCTGTCGAAAAATGCAGAGTTGGTTTGCTTGGGCTGGTGCGGCACAGCGTTGTCCTGGTTCATTCTTCTAAGAGATATATGAGGGAGATTTAGACGCGAGAGAGTGGACGTTTATATGTGATAGGATGCGAATGGCCAAATATGGGTCTATAAGCAGGAGTTAATGGAATAGACTTGTTCTCATATCATTCCAACTGAGATGCTAAAGATGTCGTGTAGCTTCGCAAGATGAGACGCTGTTTTCAAGAAGGCGTTCGTATAACGAACGCCACTACATACGTAGGCAGATGGACCCTGTTGTGCTATCTCCAGTCTACGCTATACTTGGAAAATGGAAAATGTTAATTCATCCTTTCGTTGATTTCGGAAAGCTTTCAGTTGTGTTGTTGTCTTTCTCTCATCTGTACCTTATATTAAAAAATGGCATTATGTCATCACCGTCGTTCCCGGCACCGAGATGATCCGGGCTAATCGCCGAGTGCGGGCGGCCTGTCCGGGGTTGTGCTAAATTTCGACGGGCTTTAGTCGCAAACTCATCCGCCAGCGCCAATACTTCAACCAAGCATTTCTTTGCCCTTTGCACTTTGCTAGAATAGAATCGGGATTTGCTTTTCTCTTATTCTTGCTAGCAGGCGCATCATAATAATGCTTCGTCCATTTACTCAGTGCCTGCCAACAAGGGCCCGGGCGTCATGCTCCCGGGTCTTGGGGCAGGCTTCCAAGCTTTCGCTGGCGCGGAGATCGATGGCTACCGTTCAAGTGAAGGGAATTGAGAAGGTATTTGATATAATGTATGCATTTGAGACCCTCAGCTAATATGTAATAGGACCCTACAGAACTTGACCGAGTCACAACTCTTCCCAATGGCCTGCGAGTTGCATCAGAAGCCCTCCCCGGATCCTTCGCCGGCGTAGGTGTGTATATCGAAGGCGGTTCTCGATTCGAAAATGACTCTCTCCGCGGTGTATCTCATATCATGGACCGTCTTGCTTTCAAATCGACATCGAAGCGCTCCGCAGATGATATGCTCGAGCAGGTCGAGGCCTTGGGTGGAAATATTCAATGTGCCTCTTCAAGAGAGAGCATGATGTACCAAGCCGCAACCTTTAACAACGCCGTTCCCCCGACAATTGAACTTCTCGCCGAAACGATTCGCGATCCTCAAATTACGGAGGATGAGGTAGCAGAGCAGATCGAGACCGCGCGATATGAAATCCGAGAGATTTGGAGCAAGCCCGAACTTATCTTGCCCGAGCTGGTACACACTGCTGCGTTTAAGGACAATACGCTCGGAAATCCGTTGCTATGCCCGGAGGAGAGGTTAGGCGTTATTGACAGAAATACTGTTTTGGCGTACCGAGACCTCTTCTACAGACCTGAGAGAATGGTCGTAGCCTATGCTGGAGTCGAGCACGGAGAGGCTGTCCGATTAACCGAAAAGTTCTTCGGCGATATGAAGAAGGGTAGCGAACGTGTCCAAGATATCACGGGCTCTGAGACGAGTGAGAGCGAAGTATCGGATAGCGAGGCCAGCTCATCCTCAGCGTCTTCATCATCACAGTCCTCCTCAGGCCTACTCTCACGATTTTTCAAGCACACCCCTTACGCTTCTCGAAACCTTCAGAACCTCCCCTCTCAAAACGACATCACAAAACCCTCTAAATACACCGGAGGCTTCCTCTCACTCCCCGCTCAACCACCTAATCTGAGCGGTCTCCCCACTTTCACACACATTCACCTCGCTTTCGAGGGTCTACCCGTGGCTTCGGATGACATCTATGCCCTCGCTACCCTTCAGACTCTTCTTGGTGGCGGCGGATCTTTCTCCGCTGGTGGGCCTGGCAAGGGCATGTATTCTCGTCTGTACACCAATGTCCTGAACCAGCATGGCTGGGTTGAGTCATGTATGGCATTCAACCACTCCTACACTGATTCCGGCCTCTTCGGCATTTCAGCAAGCTGTCTTCCTGGCCGTACCGCCAACATGCTTGACGTTATGTGCCAAGAACTACGTGCTTTGACCCTCACAACAGGTTTCTCACGCCTACAAGAGACCGAGGTTGCTCGTGCGAAGAACCAGCTGCGATCCAGTCTCCTAATGAACCTAGAGAGCCGTATGGTTGAGCTCGAAGATCTCGGCCGCTCCATCCAGGTCCATGGCCGCAAGATCCCCGTCAAGGATATGTGCCGTCGCATCGAGAACCTTACAGTGGATGACCTCCGCCGTGTGGCCAAGATGATTGTTGGCGGTAAGGTAAAGAACCCTGGTGGCGGAAGCGGTGCCCCTACCGTGGTGCTCCAGGAAGCTCAGGCATATGGCGTAAGCAGCCACTCGATGAGCTGGGATCAGATTCAAGATCGTATCGATAGCTGGAAGCTTGGCAGCACATAAATGCAGCGTACTGTTTTTCTAGAGGCGATGCATGAGGTGCCTATTGTTGGTCATTTGCAAGAGATTTTCAAATGATGAACAGGTGTATAATAGAGACGGCTTGTCAGGTATGTACAGGGCTTAACGGGCATCAGGTTGGTTGTAGCATTATCCGGAGCATAGAGGTGATGACCTGGAAGATATGTATTATATGAGCCCACGCGATTACTCTACTAGACTCAAAATTCAATGTATACCACATGCGGATGAATTCGATGAATCTATAGAACTGTTATTCTAGGATTTATTATGAGAAAATATAGTGTTAGCAGATAACTCCTGACTGTATCGTCGTCCCATTCTGGGTATGTATCCGTGCCATCTTCGTAATACGCCATAATTCCTGTTGTTCGCCGTCCAGAATTTCTATCAAACAAAATCATATTTTGCACAGATCTGTCAGTCAATCAAAGTTTAGATCGGACTGCCTCAAGGCGATACTTGACATCCTTAAGAGCTTTGTTGGTGGGCTTCCAGTCATCAAACTGCCTAAGCAACTCATCTGCCTCGTTGCTCAACTCGGTTCGCACGAAGTTTTCTTCAAGTAGTCCGCGCATGATCCATGGTAGGACATACGGGTTTTGGGATGTCAGAGGCCCGCCACGCGGGGAGATTGTACAGGTTGGTGGTGACGGACCAGCAGGTGCTGTCTCAAGTGCGTGAGCGATAGCAAGATCGTACACTGCATCATCATAATAAAGGCGAGAGTGTCCAGCGCCAGAGTAAAGAGATCCGGCTAGAGGCACGGAGAGTTCGCGGATCAAGCCATGATCAGAAACGCCGAGGTTGCGAAGCTTAAGAGCAAAACCAACCAAGTGGGCAATGAAGTCAGGGGCATGGACACGCCCGTCGATGAAGACAGCCCGGTAAATGTAAGGGTGATTTGCTGGCGAATAAATAGCAGACTATCGAAGTTAGCTGACCTGGACTGAAGATATGCCATACTCAAGTTAAACTTACCTCCATTGGCACGACTTGGTCATCGATGCTACCAATGAATGTGATACGAGTTCCGTAGTCTACTACCCGCTTGAGAGCTTTCTCGAAACGCTTCGAATTGTCACTCTCTGGGTTCCCAAATTCCCACAACTCAGCTGCCGAGCCCATCAACAGGCCAGACTTGTAGTCTGGGAATGGTCCCAAAGCCACGCCAGCCATGGCACAGACACCAACTTTCGCATTTGTGATGATGCCAAGGTCAATGAGTTTCTCGAGTAACATGATACTGACAGGAACCCCCTGCGAGTGACAAGCAATTAAAATGAAGTCAGCACTCCGAATGTGGTCAATCCAGTTGAGCATAAGATTCCACAAATTATCAACTCGGTCTCTGATTTTCCCTTCTCCTTCTAAGGCGACCTTTTCGATCTCGCAGTCACCACATCCATGAGACTCAGTCCATCTCCTGATCGCCTCAGCACCAAGCGCTGCGAAACGAAGGGATGTGCCTGTAGGCTGACCAATCATGGGACGTAGGTAAGTCGCAGGAAACAGGCCATGGACACCGATTGCAATGGCCTTTCGAATCTTGGGGGGGCTGTCGACTCTGAAAACGTGGTTCGGGGGAGCTTGTTGTGTGCGAAGAAGAAACTGTGTCAATTGCTTCAAGATTGATGGGTTCTCCTTCATGTGATAAGTACTGGAGAAAGATGGTAGAAGAAGGTTTGTAGAAGTTTTAGATGATGTTTCTGATTCGGCAATGGACGGACTAGAGGAAACAGCCTTGACTGCCGCTTTGTCGATATCTTGTGTTGCAGGTGCTGTACTAGTAGGGGTGGAAGTACCAGATACAGACGGTGATGGAGGGTCCAGATCCATCGACTGTGGTCTACCGCGCTTGTTTTTCTTCATCCAGCCCGACTTTACCGTCGCCTGAGCTTCTTTCGCTTTCACATCAGTCTTTGCGCGGTCCTTGGTTGGCGATACGTCGCATTCTGCCATCGGTCGAGGATGAGCCTCTGACCCCTCACCCATGATTGCCACTTCTCCTGACTCCGGCATAGGTGTACTGTCCTTCGACTTTGGTGATTCCTTAGACCAAAACACCCAAGTTGAGCCAGCCTTGGGCGGTGGCTCATGCTGATGTGGAGGCGGCGCATCCGCCATTGTGGCATCTTCAGAAGGTGCATCTGTCCCTGGTTGTGGTTGAGTGTCTTGGTCATCTTCTGAAGCCTTGACAGACTCAGCTACTGGATACCAATAACTGAACCAAGACGTTGACTGTGGAGCTTTGGTGCTTTTAGGTGATGCGACTTGATCTGTAGATGTGGTTTGGGCTGGTGGAGTGACAGGCCTCGGTTCTTCCATTTCCTTGGTGGCCTCGGCTTCAGCGGTTGGTGTCCCATTTGGATCAGGCACGGGAGCGGCCTGCGTCTCTGTGAAAGGTGTTTTTGACCACCATCCAAGCCACCCTGATGATGTTGTTGGACTTTGAGGGTCCGCTTGTGATACGGGAGCTTCAGTACGAGTATCGGGCTGACGTTGATTATCATCGCTCTTCGGTTCGGGTGCCTTGGGTGGCGTCGGTTCTGTGATGACTGTATCTTTCAATGACTCTCGAGTATCCATGACCTTGGAGGACTCCCGGGATGGCTCGAGATCAGACTTTTTCTGAGTCTGCGATTCGGCTTGCGCGCTTTCTTCTGTCATAGTCACATCGGACTTCGTCTCGGAAACCTTTGGCATCGTCTTGATCGTACCGGCCGTACTTCGAATACTAGCGTTATCGTCGCCTTTCCTCGCTTCGTATCGACTTAGATCTGATGTTTTGTTTAACTTGACGGACCCTCCAAAAATGTTTTCCTTTGCGACCGATGTAGATGCCGAGGCTTTGGAGGGTCGCTGCCAGGAACCGTACCAGCTCTTCGTTTTCCGAACCTAGGTGTATTGTCAGATATGGTGGAATGAATAAGAAAAGGGACTATAATAGGCAAACCGACGTCTTTGCTCTTGTTCTGCGCTGTGGAGCCCGGATCACCCATGATCTGCTGTGTTGATGGCGCTTTTGCGTTGTTGTTATGATCCGCCTCTACTGCAGGTGATGCCTTTGATGCCTGTGATTGTGACGTAGGGGCCTCTGTTGTTGAGTTGCTGACCGGGGTCTGAGAGTCGTTGTTCGCGGCTGATTCGGCCGGGTTGGGGCGTGCCTTTTTACGTGGCAACATTATGTATCAAGTATGGCGTGAGTATGCCATGAATGATTCGAATCACGACAAGTTTTGTGTCTATATGTTTTGTTGTTGTTTTATCAGAGTGCTAATTTCATAGTTCCGTCATGTGTTGATTCAGATGCCCGCGCCTAGACCCAACAGCTATGGACAGTTCTGGACGGCCGCTTGGCCCTTGCCCCCGCCATAAAGGGTAACTGTAGGGAAGTGGGCCCACCTGGACAGCCCCATTATTCGTTATCGATAAGAAAAAGATTTCAGTCCATCCAGTTTCGAGAGAAAAAGATCTTGGGAGTGTGAGAAAGCACAGTTGGTGATGCGCCAACGTCTTTCACAATGAGCAACCTTAAACGAAAAGACGCCCCCGGCGGCAATCCGCCTGCCAAATCGGCAAAGAATACAAAAGAAGCTAGACCTACCAAAAAAGAAAATGTCGGCAAAGATGCGAAGCCCGCTCCCAAGAAGAGTGCTGAGACAGCCGACAAGGCTCCCGTTGTGTCGCTCTTGAAGGAAGACGAGCCAATGTTCCCTCGAGGCGGTGCCAGCGTCCTCACTCCTCTAGAGCAGAAGAAGATTCAGCTTGAGGCCAAGGCCGATGCCATGCGCGACGAAGAATTCAACACTGGTAACAAGGTCCAACAGAAGAAGAAGCGGAAGACTGCCCTCAAGGGTGACAAAAAGTCAGACAAGAAGACCGGGGAGGAGGAACAGGCAGTCAGAATTGAGAGTCTGAGCTTCAAGGTAGCCTTGAACTATTACGTTCATTTACGTTGTCTGCTAACATTGATATAGAATCTGGTCAAAGGCTCTCTTGTTCTTGCACAGGTCACACGAATCAACAACCTCGATCTCGAAGTCGCACTACCAAACAACCTTACCGGACACATCTCAATCGTCGCCATTTCCCAACAATTGACGACACGTCTCGAGAACGAGACTGAAGAGAAGGACGATGAGGACGAGGACGAGGCAGAGGATGATGAGGGTATCGACCTCAAGTCCATCTTTTCTGTTGGTCAATACTTGAGAGTGTATGTGGCATCTACTGCCGAGGAGTCCACTGCTGGAAAGAGCAAGCGACGCATTGAGTTGTCCCTGCGGCCCAATGAGGCCAATGCGGGCCTGTCGAAGGATGATGTTGTTCCCAACACTACTGTAATGGCGTCTATTGTCAGCGTTGAGGACCGTGGTTTTGTGATGGACACTGGTATTGAGGGTCTCGGTGCTTTCCTTGCCAAGAGTGAGGTTGATAAGAACATTGACGAGCAAAGATTGCAGCCAGGCGCTGTTTTCTTGTGCCAGGTCACCAGCAAGGGTGCCAATGGTAAGATCGCACAGCTCTCACTTCAGCAAAAGAAGATTGGCAACCCCAAGAGTGTCCCCGCCGATGCCACGACCATCAATACCTTCCTCCCTGGTACCATGGCAGATGTCCTCATCTCCAACACCGATCGACGAGGTCTTTCTGGAAAGATCATGGGGCACCTAGACGTGACTGCAGATATTATCCAATCTGGGGCTGGTCCTGCTGGTGTGAGTTTGGATACAGCCTACAAGATTGGTTCAAGAGTCAAGGCACGAGTAATTTGCAACTTCCCCGGTGCCAGAGAGCCCAAGCTTGGTATCTCCCTTCTTCCGCATATTACCACCCTCGAGAAGAAGCGACCTACCAAGTCAACTGACTCCAAGAAGAACCCAACGCAGGTTCTGCCCATCTCGTCTCTTGTTGAGAAATGCACAGTCCGTCATGTCGAGCCTGATATTGGTCTATTCGTCGATATTGGCATCCCTGGC